TAAAAGGATCACGAAGCTCAGGATTACAGGTTAGTCGCATTACGTAGGCATAAAAACATTTTATTTGCCACTCGGATCGTCCGGCTTACTCAGGGCTCCCCTATCTCTTACAAAGACGACATGACTGACCCTTCAGTCCTTCTTGTACATGAGTAAATCATTTCTGAGCAAATTTTCAAAGGGAAAAGCCCCAATTTAAGCAGAAATAACAAATCCGAGAGCAGCACGTACGCATATTGCTTACGATTACGACATCTCCAGTTGTTGCCCCTATTCCCCACAATGACCATCATTAAAAAACTATGTCCTCCTCTTTACTGGGTGTACTGGCACAGAATTTTCAGCAACTGAGCAATCGGTTATTCAAGCGAATCTTGATAGAAACTAACCAATGTAGTCGATTGATGATAACATCACTTTCGGAAGTCGACATTAACAGCCGTTCCTATCTTCATGTGTTTTATATAAACCACTTCATATAATTCGCTAAGTATGCCTGTTGGTTAGTAGGTGTAATTGTTCGTTTGTGTATGCGCGTGTATGTGTATGTGTGTCCTAGAGCTATAGAATCCGTTACGCCCTCCGTGTCAACAGTGGGACTCTGGCACTTTCGTAGGTGATATGGGGAGTGATATTGGACCGCAGATGATTGGTGATAGGGACTGATAGCAACTGATAGGGACTACTATTGCGCCATAGAATTTACAAGACTCTGGTCAGGTTACGCCATCCCTGTTAACAATGGAATCTTGATTTCTCGACAGATGATTTGGGATCTGCCGGAACCGTGGATGGTCGGCCACAGAGACTGATAACAATTGAAAGGGACTGATAGGAAGACTTAGAAGGCTAGAGCCATGAAATTGGCTACGTCCTTTGGGGGTGAAAACCTGCTACTTTGGTGTGCGAGTTGGGGTGTAAGGGATCGCGCGTGGTTGATTACAGAAACTGACGATAACTATAAAGCCTGATACCGAGCAAGAGGCACTGGAATAGTTCAGGTTTTGGCACCAAGCTCGGAGCCTTGACACTTCGCTGACGGGATGTGACGAGGTCGTAGAAGGCTGATGACAGAAAGTGACAACAACTGATGAAGACTGAAAGGAGCCTCATAAACCAAGAGCCGCTGATTCACGTCCTCAGTATTAACAGAAGGACTCTTGCCACATTATCGGGTGATGGAGAGAGTGTGGAAATTACGGATGGTTGGTGAAAGAAACCGATTACAACTGATGAGGGCTGATAAAGCTTGAGCCACTAGAACATCTATCGTCACCCCTATCGCCTAACTTGGAGTCTTGATGGACCAGGTTCTACCGTGAGGTGTGGCGGGATCGTGGATGTGATGACAGAAACTGATAACAGTTGAGCCCCGACTTATTGTATTAGTCGCCGAAACAAAATATCCACGATCCCATTGGACTGCATGCATTACCCAAAAAGACCATTTCTACTGTTAGCACGAAGTATGTCATAACTTATGTGATCCTGCATTCTCTCCTGCATTCTCTGAGCCCTTATCCGCCCTTCTCACTTACTATCGGTCCTTGTTACCACCACTTATAATCCCTTTACCCCCACATCGCCTTCCCAAGTGCCAGGGTTCCATGAGTGTACTTATAGCACAACCGCTTCCGTTTTGCAGTGTGCTTATTGTGATACTGCGAATTTATCACTCTGAAAGAGAGTAGCGCCTATGACGCCTCCAACTACTCGTCACAAACACGGGCAGTGCGGGCAGTAGCAGTAGACATGCACTTACCAAGCGGCGGAAATCGCTCGTACTCATATGGTCCCTGCGTATCTTGTTTTCTATGGCTCCTTATCAGTCTCTATCAACTGTTATTACTTGTTACTATCTACTATCTATACTCCCATCCCCTCTCCTGTACTCCTTGCAGATATGAACGCATAATACATACATACATATGTACATACATACATAAATTTGTATAGCAAATTATATGTAGTGGGAAAATTTCCCTTAAAAAAGTCTTCTTTCTGTGACTAAAAGCTGAACTTCAGCTCTCTTTACAAGACGGCTCCGATCTATGCTCCGTTGGTGGTCTAGACACAGCCATCTCTCATCATCACAACGCGGCTTCCCTTACAAGGTACACACATTTGCAACAAATTTGTCCAACAATCGTCTATTCTTTAAACATTTGGAACGGTCTTGTTCCGAATATTTACACTACTACTATCAATAAATAAATCGTTACCATTGAAATGTTGCTCAGGTTCGACACAGATAACAAGGACTTTGACCAAAGACTGGCCACAGTCATTGGACAAGGCGAAGCGGGAGGTTTTGAGAAGGGCTTCTGGGAGCATCACGACAGCTTAAATAGATGGACTCTCAAATTCAACGAAAAGGTAATTTTGCCGGTTGTCCATTCGATTCTACTCAGCAAGCCGCTTCTTATTTTTCCAGATCGTAGAAGACGAATACAGGGCCCATTTTGCAGACTCAGGTGACCGCCACGTTCCCTATAAGACTCCCCTGGCGCTGCATCAGGTGATTTGGCGGATCCTTTTCTGATGATTTATCTTGAAAAATAGCATTAAGCTTTTTTTATTACCGAAAATGTTTACCCATGCTTTGATATTCTTCACCTTTTGGTCCTTCATTTTTCCTTCTTTAGGACGTCGCTTGCCGAGATCAACTTGAACATTCTACGCAGTACCGCTATTCAGGCGTCTTTATAGGTGAGATCCTATAGTTCACAGTATACTGCACGGTTCTGATTAGTGACTTTCTAGACATACTAGTGGCTGCGCTGCTTTTGGTAGTCGTTTCCATTGCCGTCTTTATGTCGTCATCAGAGATACCGTTGTCGTTTATTGTTTACTTCTGTATTGCTATTACCGTCGTCACTGCTGCCATCGGCCTTATAGGTAAGCACAGTTCGGAAAACTTTCTCGCTGAGAAGACAATTAAAATTGTACTATTTGTAATAATCAAGAAGAATGTAAATAAAATAAGTGAATCACAAGGGTAGGAAGGTAAATTAATTTGTAAGAGGATTACAATAGTGAGAAAAAAAAAGATCTCAAAGAAAAAATATGTTTTTAGGTCAATACCACTTGGTTGGGAACTGATTAGATACTATTTGACTTCACTCTTTAGTTCTATTACCACTCGGGTCGCCCTGCTCACTCCGGGACTCATTCCTTACTTTTACAAAGTAATAAAAAAACGTAGTCAAGGGATGGGGAGAAGGCGTCGCTTTTATTCAACGCTGAGGCTTTGAGTACAGAGAAGGATGGATGGCACCTTACTTGTACTTCGTCTCGGTTCTAGGCAAGAGAATATAGTTTT